ATTACATCTTAAAGACATCTTCTAAACGTCTATTTGACATCTGACAGGAAACGTCCTATAGATGTCTTGCAGATGAGCAAACACTCTGAAAAATACGTCAAATAGACATCAAATAGACGTCTCTGTGATTTACGGGAAAGACGGCTGTTTTCCTGAATATCAGCATGTTTGGAAATGTGGAAATGTCAATAAACTAGAGAATGTCCGACTTACCCCAGCTTTGAGAATCAACTTAAATAATGGCTCAAGACACATCAAAATTGTGACCATTAACTAAAATATACATTTTTTTCTAATCGAGGGATATGGATAAGGTCACTGTAGTATTGTTTAAGTATTTGTATGTTTACCAAACCAGATTGTAATTTTAGTATTTTAGCATAATTGCAATATACTTGAAGTACATAGAATAGAGAGCCTAAGTCCCTCCCCTTCCGGTCGACCACCATGGGATTATTTATTTCGGAAAAATATTGAATGGCAGTCAATGGCGAGAGACAACAAATATTTTGATCTCGTTTGAATTGTGCCCTGAATTACACATATGATGTTTGCCAATTTAAAAGATACATTTTAAAGTAAAGAAAGTCGCAGTTTGATGTAAAACCGTTGAGGTATAAGACTGTGAAAATACGTAATTACAAAGACTACAAACCCCAAAGGCGCACATTTTCTCCCAATGAATGAAGCTAACTTTACTGAGGCTGACTGTCATTGTTTCTATAGTCTTACGTTATAATCGTAACGTTACGCCGTCGTACCTGAGTGTTTTGTACCAGACTGCACACACACGAGCAGCGGATCTCGTTTCGGTTCCCGGGAGATGTAGTTCACAGAGTGATTTTCACATAAAACTAAATGTTACTTTTCTGTCGTGTGACAAACTGCGACGTTTTTGACTTTCAGAATTATCTTTTAAATTGAAAAACATCATATGTGTAATTGAGGGCACAGTTCAGACGGAATAAAAAGATAAGTTGTCTCTCGCCATTGACTACCATTCATATTTTTTCCGAAATACTTAGGCTCTCTATAGCACTTTATTGTATATGTATATGTGTAATCTGTCTGAAAACAGTGGTGTCTCTTGTAATATGTTATTTGAATATTATGGTGTTCTTTAAACAGTGTAGTATCTTTCTTAAATTTAAATGTTAGACCTGTTGTTTATTATTGTGATGCCGATGGAAAGTAGCCCTGGGGCTAATTCTGGCATATTTACAGTGCTGAAAAGCTAAGATGTTCATTAATATGCATTGTCCCTTTTAACCCTTGTGCTGCATTAGATTTTTAACACCGTTGAGTGCATTAAGGACCAAAAATGGCCACATATTAAACATTGCCTAAAATATTATATATTATTATTATTTTCCACTTTTACCAAGTTAAATCTTTTAACCAGCATCAGTCCTCATCATAACTACCAAAAATGTATTCAATTTCAGGATTTTAACCCTTTAATTACCAGTTTTGTTTGCGAAACCATCTATTTGTATAAGAGGAAAAAACACAAAAATTCAATTATTTTCAATAAACTAAATGCAAAGAGAAAACTTTAGATTTGGATTATCACAGTCCCACTTTGCAAAAAATCCCACTTAGCGCGTTAGAGACCAAAAATGGCCACCTATTAAACATTGCCTATTGCCTAAAATAAGGTGCATTTCCACCCATAGGGAATAAATATGTAGTGACGTCATCTGGTGGAATACACTATATAATGCAAATATAATGCTTTTGCTTCAAAATGAAAGGATGTTTGTGCAAAAATCATGTTTCATGTATTACTGACAGCCTCAGATTTAAACAACGTTTTAATGGGTTTCAATGGGCCATTTTTGGTCTTTATGGTGCTGAGTGTTACTTTTTGATCTACACAGTGTGTGTTATACATATTTTGCAAAATGGGATCACATTTTTTACATGTATCCAAAAAGTCACAATTTTGCCAAATTTCATACCATTTGCATTAAAACAGCCAAAATGGTCAAAGAAATTAAACTGCAAAAGACCAAAAATGTCCCTAATGCAGCATAAGGGTTAAATAAATCAAAAAATAAATCAAAAATAAACAAGTTAATATTAGGTGACTTACATTTTAGACTCTGTTTTGCTTAATTTTGCCAGTGAACATAGTAAAATAAATCCAGTTCTGGTTTTCGAGCAACACTGATGTGAATCTGTGTTTGTGAATGAATCAGTCTGATCAATGCCTCAACGACCCGCTCATAAAGAAGGGCTGCGTCTTATTTTGAGTAAGACCGCTAAAAAAGATGTCTTATATAGTATGAATGTAATCTGTAACACAGCCATTCACTTGCTTTGTCCCTGAATGAATCAGCGGTTTTGAATGAATCATTTGAATGAATGATTCAATGACTCACTCGTTAAGACAACTGATTCGCCACCTATTGCTGTGAAATTTTAAAGACAAAAACCCCCAGAAATAGTATTTTCTTATAAAACGTTCTGCAGTAATCTTTGTTTTCTTAAACATACTTTAAAGATTACAATGTCCTGAGAAAGTTTCGTAACTTTCACATTAAAGTCGTCATGAAACGGAAGTTGCGTTCTCAAGTCTGGAAGTTGCGCTAGTCTTTTCGTCTCTATTGTTCTGAATATCCGAGTGAAACGCATCTCAAACAAGAACAAATGTAGGCGGGGCTTGATTGTGTCTGTGAGGAATTGATTGGATGGTGGTGGTTTGCTATTGGCTGATCTCATGTGAGTGACAGGTGGCCCCGCCCACATCATCAGAGAAGAGAGGAACTGATTCTCATTCAACATTACAACGATAATGCACCGATAAATCATTTCTATTAAACACTGCAGTATTGTGTTGTTGAACCTTCATCCTAAGCTAAATCATTCAACATGTGATTCAAAAGCAATGCTGTTTGCTATGATTTTAAAATAAGTCATTTTTTTCCAGCATGTGTTATTGCTTTGTCCATATTTCTTGCGCTCGAGGCGAACTCTGTTTGGCGTCGCAGAACAGGAAGGTCAAGAGCACAAACAGAGCATGTTCTTATTTCCCTTAAGCCTCTTGCATCACATGCACCACAGTTCTTGGACTCTTGTGCAACAGATAAGAGCTCAAAACAAAAAAAACACTGGTATAGCCACACTAAACCGAGCTTTTGCATCGGCTAAGGTGTGTTTTTCACATCCTATGTGAAGAGGTTCTCCTGGAGAACGTGTCAGAACGTACACTACCAGTCTAAAGTTTGGGATCGGTAAGAGTTTTAATGTTTTTAAAAGTGTCGTCTGTTCACCAAGTCTGAGTTTATTTCATTAAAAAAAGTAATATTATTCTAATGTGAGTATTTAGTAGTGTAATTTATTCCTGAATGTTCAGCATCATTACTCCAGTCTTCAGTGTCACATGATCCTTCAGAAATCACTCTAATATGAGGATCTGATGATCAAGACACATTTATGATTATTATCAGTGTTGAAAACAGTTTTTTTTAACCCCTTAGCTGTCACCCCCCTTTTTGAGAATGGGGGTTAAAATGCACTGTTCAAACTTTAAATGGTTGTAATTTAAGAATGCTTTGGAATATACCCAAGTTTGGTCTTGTTTTAAAGAAAACACTCAGCAGAATATTGCTGAAGTTAAAACACTTCAAAAAATGAAAGTATGAAAACGTTATGGAAGTTTAAATTGACAGTAAATCAAATATACTGTACTATATATTTTTTATTATATATAAAATATATATTTTACAAATATGTTTTACTCTTAAATTACTATAAATCAAAGCCATAAATCTTTTGTTCCAAATTTGAAGTTGATATCACAAAAAATTGAAGTTCCCATGAGGTTTTGTTTAGGCGTAGTACCAAAAATAGCCACCGGGTGCCATTGAATTCCATTGAATTTAATTTTATACATTCTGCCTTAACAAATGAATACATTTCTGTCCAAATATCGATTCTGTCACAAAATTTGGAACCTTGAGACTCAGACCTTTCTGACAATATGTGTTTTGTCAAGAGTGGAAAAGGTTTTGATCATAAATTATGAAATATAATGATGCCCAAAAGGGGAGGAGCATGATAAAATAAGTACCGTTTCTATGGTAACGCAACGTTCAATTATAAAACGGTTTTCACACGATGAATTCTGAGTTTATAAGCTTTCAAATGATACCTAATTTATGATAACTACTAAAATATGTGATATAATAAAAATGGCGATAAAAAATAATATAATATTTTAGAGGATAATAAATATAAATATTATCATTTTTAGAGGATAATATTATACTATAAGTTTTTTTATTGAAAAATACTAGATTATATGTTTTATTATGAACTTTTAGCATAAAAACAGAAGTTTCAATGATTAAAAGTGGGTGCATCGACTTTTTGTGACAAAGGTCAAAACTCCTGTTATGATGCAGACTTTTTGAGGTGCACTCTTGTCATAAATTCATCAACTACTCTTCCTACATAATTTGTAACACAAAACAGGGGTAGAATATCTATTTAGAAGTCCTAGACCTTTCCAACGATATATAATTTGTCATAATTAGATTAGGATTTGATAATAAAATAATAATTCTTACTGACCCCAAACTTTTGAACGGTGGTGTTTAATGTTACTTAAAACTTTCTATTTCAGATCAATTCTGTTCTTTTGAACTTTTTATTCATCAAAGAATCCTGAAATAAAAACGTAAATAACGGTTTTCAACACTGATAATAATCATAAATGTTTATTGAGCATCAGATCCTCATATTAGAGTGATTTGTGAAGGATCATGTGACACTGAAGACTGGAGTAATGATGATGAACATTCAGGAATAAATTACACTTATAGGATTTAAATTATAATAATATTTCACAATTTGATCAGATGAATGCAGTCTTTGTGCGCAGAAGAGACTTTTAATCTCACACACCCAAAGCCTGAAGTGTCCTTCATAAACTCTCAGAGATGTTGGTGAGGTTTGCTGGAGTAACGTGTGTGTGTGTGTGTGTGTCGTCACAGGAATGGAGGAGCCGGTGAACATGGATCGTGGTTTCTTCAGGAAAGTGGACGTTCCCGATCATGCACACTATATAGTGGCCTTCTTCGTGGCGATCATCGGGGCGGTGGGAGTGATCGGGAACCTGCTGGTCATGTACGCCTTCTTCTGGTACGCCGTCGCTCTCATTCTATACGCAATTATAAATATTCAGCTTTAAGATGGATTTATTCGGTAACACTTTGCAATAAGGTTCATTAGTAAATAGTAACATGAACTAATAATGAGCAATATTTGTTTCAGTATTTTTGTTAATGTTAGTACTACGATTAATAAATGCTGTAGAAGTGCAGTTTATGTTTAGTTCATGTTAACTACTAATGAACCATTGTAAAGATGAACCATTCCCAAACTAACTTTTTTAACAAGTTCCCAGAGTTTGCTCTTTTATAGCTTAGGAAACTAATGAGTTTTTAATTATGTCATTGAAGTATTAACCTGGCCTCAGATTTTTCTCCTTAAAATGTCACACAGGTGAAACTCTTGTTATTGTAAAAAATGTATTGTATTATTGTATATTTATTGTCTTATTTATTGTAAAAAATTACAAAATCATACAAAAGTTCATTTATTTTAGTAAATCAACTTAAAGGTCAAACTAATATATTATATAGACTCTTTTGGTAGCACTTTACTTGAAGGGGTGTGCATAAGACTAACATGACACCTTTATAACCATGACGTGACATATGCATGTTTATGAAAACTGTCATTAAGTGTCTTTATGACATTTTTAGTGCAAATATGACATTAAGATGTCTTTGTTATGATCTCTTGACATAAACCAATACTGGTCATGACAACTTGACATTAAATTAAGTTAGACTGTCATTGTCATGAGGCATTATAACTGTGTCATGAATATTTTTCGTGAGCTCAACTACAGTGGTACTAATTGAATTTGTCATTAAAAAGCTATAATGACAGGCAATGTCAAAACCACCCACCTGACAGTTTAATGTAATGTTAACCAATAAAGCTAAGTGATTTCTTAAGTTTGATAATTAATCTGCTATGTCATGTTTATGACAGGTTGTCATGACAAAGACACTGACAGGTTATGATGTATTGGTTTATGTCATAATGTCATGACAAAGACATCTCAAACAATGTCATACTTGCATTTAAAAATGTCATAACTGAGCGAATGACACTTAATGACAGTTGTCATAAACCTGCATAAACCCTCATGGCATGTTTATGAAGGTTTCATGTCAGTCTTATGCACACCCCTCCCACTTTGCATGTAATGAGTCTTTTAAGGCGAATTACTGAAATAAATGAACTTTTGCATTTTTAATAGCACATATTTTGCACATATTCTCAGTTTTTGAGTTTCACCTGTAGTGTGCGTACAGTGAGAGTTGCTGTCAACATTTTGGAATAATTACGATTTTTTTTTATGTTTTTGAAGGTGTCTTATCACCAAAGATGCATTCATTTGATCAAAAATACACTAAAACTGTAAAATATAATTAGAATGCAAATCAGCTGTTTTCTATGTGAATATATACATTTACATATATATGTTTTTTCAGGATTCTTTGATTAATAGAAAGTTCAAAAGAACAGCATTTATTTGAAATATAATTTTCTTTACTGTCAGTATTTATCTATTTAATGTCTCCTTGCTGAATAAGTCATTTTTTCTTCTTCTTACATAAACCTTTCAATGGTTTATTACGGTTTCCTCAAAAATATGAACTGTTTTCAACACTCATAATAATCGTAAATGTGTCTTGATCCTCATATTAGAGTGATTTCGGAAGGATCATGTGACACTGAAGACTGGAGTAATGATGCTGTAATAAAATTTACTGTATTTTGTATCAAACAAATGCAGCCTTGGTGAGCATAAAAATGAAAAAAGTTCACATTGAGCTCTCTGATTGGTTTGATATCTCGGCAAACAGTTTCAGAGATTGTTACCCCAGAGAGAACTGGGGTTGTTTTCACATTTTCCGTTTTCATCTCTTTAAAATAGGGCTGTGCAAAAATTAATTGCGATTAATCGCATCCAAAATAAAAGTCTGTGTTAACATAATATATTTGTGTGTGCTGTATATAATTATTTTGTGTATATATAAATACATGCATGCATATATTTAAGAAAATGTGTTATTCATTTATAAAATATTTATATTTATATATAGATTATGTATTTATATACAGAATTTAAGCGCAGAAAATTCTTAAATATATACATGCATGCATAGGTATTTATATATACAAAATAATTATATACAGCACACACAAATATATTATGTAAACACAGACTTTTATTTTGGATGCGATTAATCGCAATTCATTTTTGCACAGCCCTGTTTTAAAACAATAACATAGTCCAGTATTCTCCGAGATTCAAAATCTGGTCATAAATGTTGTTTTTCTTTCTGGTAATAACTCTTAAGTGGTGTCTCTGTGCTGATGTTGTGCCATGTTTTAATGACTCAGTCTTGACGTGGTTTCATACTGACAGATTTATTTTAGTCTTTGCTGAAAGGGACATCTTGCCATCAGTAATAGATGATGACAGCGGACACACTGCAGCTTCTTCACACACACACACACACACACACACACACGCCGTGTTTTGGGAGTGAAACCACATTTAAATATGAAAGTGAACATGTTAAAGAGGACACTGTCTTCAGTGTGATGTTGCTGATATAGTTCTCCTCTCTATCAGTGTCAGTGTTTCTGAACTCCTGAAACGCCTCCATTGTAGTCCATCGAACATGTCACAATATTCCTCATTATAATAATTAATACGCAGAATAAAGGGGCGGGGCCTGGTTGAGTTAGTCAGTAGTGTGTTAAACTGGTTATTGAAAGGCAATGAGATTAAAGATTAAAGATTAGGAGTGACACTGGAAGGCTCTCTAAATGATCAACATGATCTAAACTTTGAAAAGGTCGCCGCACTCGATCTCCTCTGATTGGTCTCTGATTGGTCGTTTAGACTCTTTTAGCAAATAAAAGTCCTTTATTATAATCGTACAAACGTCCTTCTTCAGCTCGAGCTTCACGAGTCTTTCTGCTGACAAATCTGCACTGATATTAATCAAGTAAAGGTAAATATAACTTTGATATTGTTAGTAATATGTCAAGGTGAACACTCACTATCCAGACATCAGTCTTTAGAGAAATCACGAGCATCAAATATGATCATCAGGAACGTTTTTGTTCCTCTCTCAATCAATGTTTTAAAATTACAGAGCATTGAACATAAAACTAAGCATTTACATATAATCTTAAGACATGATATTGATATTTATAAGTATCTGCTATACAAGCATCATATTGTTTTTCCCTTTTTATCAATATCAGTATTTTAGAAACTGCATATTTTTGCTCCGTTTGAGTCTCTGAATAAAATTGAGCTGTTTGTTCCTCCATAAAAGCCAGATGTATATGAGATATGATAACTGTGTGTGTGTGTGTGTGTGTTGCCAGTGACTTTCTCTGGATGATACCGAATGCGTTCAGCCTAAGTCCTCTCGAGACACTGACACACTTTTTACATTTGTTCAGCTCTCACTCTCGCTCTCTTCAGTCCCACGACGCTTTCCAAAGACAGGACACACTCTTATCAGCACTAGCAGTCTGCATCCACACGGCGAATAATGGACATATTAAATATGACATAATAAACACGCTCCACCCTTCGATGTCTTTCTTCTGTGGGAAACAAAAACTGATAGAGAAGAATGTTCATAATATTGACTTTATATTTTGATATTTTTGCCTTAAAATACTTCATAAAGTGTATTTTTGCATTGTTTATTCAATTATTGTTAACATTTTCCATTAAGGTTTCATTAATGAGTAACTACAGTAAACTGCATTTACTAATATATTTTTGAGTTTTGAGCTAAAATGTTAACATTAGCCAAGGCAAGTGTATTTATATGGCACATTTCATACACTACGGCAATTCAAAGTGCTTTATATCGAGAGGAAATAATCACAAAATAAAAGCAAGGGAAATTCAAATCGTTATTCGACATTAGCTAATAAACTGTGAACTGACATGAAGAAAGCGAATTACAAGAGACTAGACAAAAAAAAAAAATGCGCTTTTCAGACTAGTGGACGAAAACATCCTAAATGATTTTTAAGTATTTATTTCAATCTATTTACTGAGGGGTTTGTTCATATATCATTTGTCCAATTTATAACATTTTGTTCCCCAAAACATGTTGGACGTTTATTTATTTTTGTCGGTTGACAGTATTTTTCTGATTTATGTAGTGAGAAATAGAGATATTCAAAATCCCTTCTGTAAAAAAACTTTAATATGTCAACAAAATGAAACGATAATTTTGAACCTGGCTTCATCCAATGTTGAGATTTATTTTCTGCAAATGAATGCGAATTGGTGTGTGTGTGTGTGTGTGTGTGTGTGTGTGTAATTACAGCATGCTTTAATAGCATTTAGAAAACTTGCAATTTCCTTTTTGAATTCTTAATGTGATTATGGTGATATCTATTAGTTAATTTTGTGTTGCCTGTTCACCGGGGGTGTCTTGCCTTAACTAGCATTAACCGATATAAATAATAAATGCTGTAAAAGTATTTTTCTCATTTTTACTTTGTTAGATAATGCATTACAGAAACAAGCCTTTATTGTTAATGTTCATTTTAAACTTGTCCTTTATTGCACAAAACATAATATAACAACATGATGTATACTAAGGAAAAAACCCATGACACAAACACACACACACACACACACTAACTCTACCCATCACAAACACACACACACACACACACACACACAAAGAGAGAAAGGGGATAGTAGAAACAGGGTCTTCTAGAAGCTGCAATGGTCCGCTAACAATGGGATTGCATAAAAATATTATATAATATGTTGCACGTATATATTATGTTGTAATTATATAACATGTTGCACATTGACAGTAAATCCAGCAAAATGTTTTTGAGCGTAATTAATGGGATGCACATGCAGGCCTGTAGGAGTTTGTGGGTGAAGCGGCACATGATGGAGTGGAAGTGGAAAACACACATTTCTACATGAGAACATGATCATTGACAGGAGACACACACACACACACACACACACAATTCACCAGACCCGCTGAACACGACAGGAATCGATGTCCAGCCTCATTAGAGCACTTCCTCATTTACAGCAGTCAGGGGCGACGTGCATCGACACACTACACAAGCTCATCAACTCTACATATGTTTATCCATATTCTTTAAATGCATTTTGGAAACACTTTGCAATAAGGTTGCATTAGTTAAAGGATTAGTGTCATCCAAGATGTCCATGTCTTTCTTTCTTCAGTCGAAAAGAAATGAAGGTTTTTGATGAAAACACTCCAGGATTTTCTCCATATAATGGACTTCAATGGGGTCCAAACGGTTCAAGATCCAAAAGACAGTTTCAGTGCAAACTGTTCAAAGGGCTTTAAATGATTCCAGACGATGAATAAGGGTCTTATCAAGCGAAACGATTGTTGTTCTGTGGTGCGCGTTCGTGACTCTCCTGTTCGAACTCATTCAACAAAATGAATACATTTTTTTCCGAGTCAATTTGATCGTTTCGTTCGTTGAATGAACCAAATGACACGAAAAAAAGATTCATTCATTTTGATGAACGAGTTCGAACAGGAGAGTCACGAACGCGCACCACAGAACAGAGCAAGGCGAGCATTTGAGCTTATAAAACTTAAACTTTGTTATTTATTTATTAAATGAGCGATCGTTTCGCTTGATAAGACCCTTATTCATCGTCTGGAATCATTTAAAGCCCTTTGAACAGTTTGCACTGAAACTGTCTTTTGGATCTTGAACCGTTTGGACCCCATTGAAGTCCATTATATGGAGAAAATCCTGGAGTGTTTTCATCAAAAACCTTCATTTCTTTTCGACTGAAGAAAGAAAGACATGGACATCTTGGATGACACGGGGGAGAGTAAATTATCAGCAAAAGTTTTTTAAAAAGTGAACTACACCTTTAACTACCTTAGACAACATGAACTAATAATGAACTCTGCAACATTTTTATTTTTGTCTGTTTTTCCAGTTCAAATCTGGAGAAGAAAACTGACTTTACGAAAAAAAAAAAAAAAATTCCTGTGAAAAATACCAGTACTATAAAGCTAAACACTATAAAGCATTTATTGATCTTGGTAAATTTGAACACTTACTCATGTGCATTTTGTCATGTAACGCGTGAACTAATCTTAAAGTTTGTGACGTCAGAAACACCAGCGATTTCAAACCGTGTTTTTGAGACTGTTTTTCCTTGAACAAAATTTCTCCGTGCCTTAAAATATCTTGAATGTAACTCGACACCCTCGCCTCATTTAGTATGTGCGGTTCTATGAATATGCAGATAAGCCCCGCCTCCACTCACTCACTCACTCAGAGATCCACTGGTTGACGATCACACGTTGATCTGATTGGTTACAAGGTCGTTTGTGACGTCAGAAACACCAGCGATTTCAAAGCGTGTTTTTGAGTCTGTCTTTGAGGAGGAAATACTCAGCAATGCTGTCCACTTATCAACGCACACATGGTGTGTCTTTTAGCAGATTAAAAACACCACATACACATAAACAACATTAAAAGCTGGATTTTCACCACAGAGGGACTTTAACTAATGGGACATTAGTGTAAAAGTGTTAACGTAATATGTGTTAAGAAAGTAAATAGTCAGTTAAAAAATAACTGACTGAAAATAATGTACAAATAATGAAACTGACAAAAAAAAAATGTATTTTTTATGTTACAGGTAACTCGTTTCATGCGTCATTCATGCAAAACAAAAGCACAATTCACATTTCACGCGGATTATTTCCAGTGTTCCCTAATAACTCAACATGAATGCTGTTAATCACGCGTCCACAGCAGACGATTTTCTCCGACCGAAAGTGGTGTGGTCTGTCGGCTGGGCTTTCTGGGAAAGGTTGTGTTGATCCTGTGAAGAGCTGATGTTCTGAGGGCCACTAATGCCTGATGGTTCAGGAGGTGATTGCGTGAACGTGTGACTGTGATTAATGAGATGACGTGCAATCACAATGATTGTTGTGCGATTAATCATGTGCTGAATCAATGAACCTTTTTAAGCAGAACTGTAGACATTTCTCTCTCTGTTTTACCAAGTCCCTTGTGGTGTAAATCCAGCTTTTAATGTTGTTTATGTGTGTGTGTGGTGTTTTTAATCTGCTTTAAGCCAAACCATGTGTAAGTTCATAAGTCGATTCCTCCTTAAAACTGCAGTGAACCAAAGACAATCTTTGAAATCGCGGGTGTTTCTGACGTCACAAACCACCTTGTAACCAATCAGATCAACGTGTGATCGACAACCAGTGGATCTCTGAGTGAGTGAGTGAGTGGAGGCGGGGCTCATTTGCATATTCATAGAACCGCGGATACTAAATGAGGCGAGGGTGTCGAGTTACATTCAAGATATTTTAAGGCACGTTCAAATAAAAAAATGTTAAATATGTTTCTAAATAATGTTAAATTTGGTGATCAAATATGAGTTTTAAGGGATTTAATTATTAAGAATTATTAATATTATTATTAGACTATAGGGAGACTCTATAAAGCTGCTCTACACAAACTTCCTCAACATAATCAAAACTTTGCTGTGAAACCTGTCGCACACAATCTTCTTCAGTCTTTGTGTTTTCTAATCAATAGTTTAGGCTTTTTAGTAAAATTGTAAATTTAGCTCATCCTTTGTGCTGAGAAATCTTTACAGATTTTTTATAAAAAGAATAACTTTTATATTAGTCATATTTCAGTATGAACACTTACTGAACGGAAGCAACTTGGTTACAGAACAACTTACTTTTTGGCCATATTATTGCTCAGTTTGGGTATAAAATTAGCCGTTTTTTCCTCCATATTCTCACTATATTATACTAATATGAGCCATCTTGTTTTTTAAAGTCTTTTTTAAGTGTCTGAAGGTTCATTAAACTGATGCATTTCACACAATTCTCTTTTCTGAGTTCTTCATGTCAGGCTTTACAGGGTTAACAAGCTTGTTTGACAATGCATCATGAAAAAAAATGCATATACTGTATATAGAGATATGTGTCCATCTTTAAAACTGCATATAGAAAAACTATAATAGAGATAAAACTGTCTGTAAAGTCTGTAATTTTGTGCATTAAAGGTTTAAATGTGTGTCAATCAGTTCACTAATGCACTGAGGAAATGACCATAACATGCTTTTGAAACTGGGATTGTAACAAATTGTAAAAAGGTATTTTGTTTTTCAGTAACAAAAAGCTACGGACGCCTCCGAACTACTTCATCATGAATCTCGCAGTGAGTGACTTTCTCATGGCCATCACTCAGTCGCCGATCTTCTTCGTCAACTGCATGTACAAGGAATGGGTGTTCGGAGAAATGGGTAACTAACTTCCCAATCTTCCCAGCGAGGGCCTGTTTTAAAGGGGTGGTTGATCAGGATTTCACTTTCTAACTGTAGTTAGTGTGTAATGTTGCTGTTTGAGCATAAAAAACATCTGAAAAGTTACGACGCTCAAAGTTCAAAACAAAGGAAGATATTTGTTTTTTTAAGGACTACAACAAACGACATTCCTCATGGGTTTGTGACATCACCAACCCTAGAATTTACATAAACCCCGCCCCCGTGAACACGATTTAGATTATCATGACAGAATATGCTAATCATTGACTATAAAATAACTTCACATTAGCAATAAACTGTAAATTCATCAGCTAACCTTTCAGAAATGTCCTGTTGCTTTACATGTTGCCACTTCTTCTTGAGTCTGACTTCGGTTTGAACATAAAAGGCTACAAGTGTTTGAAATGTTCAGTGCATGTGTGTGTGAGTGCAAGCTGTTGTAGCTCCGCCCCCTGCGCCGAGAGCAGCACCTCATTTGCATTTAAAGGGACAGACACAAAAACGCTGCGTTTTTTTTTTGCGTTTGACTATTTTAACATGTGGTGTATTTTGAGCTAAAACTTCACATACACACTCTGGAGACATCAGAAACTTATTTTACATCTTGTAAAAAGGGCATTATACCACCCCATCTAAGCACTTTTGCTAGTTTAACAACGGGAAAAATGTCGGCGCATGATCTAAAAGTGTCTCTATTCTCTTAATCAGTAATGGGTGTGTTTTGGGCGTTACGTGCAATAAACCAATCAGAGTCTCGTCTCCCATTCCCTTTAAAAGCCAGCTGCGCTCGCGCCACGGCGGATTCGTTAGTTATATGGAGGAATTAGCAAGAGGGAAAACTGAATACTTCTCCAGATAGGAAACGGATCTGCTCGTGCTCGAGGTTAAAGCTGTGTGTGTGTGTGTGTGTGTGTGTGATGTTAAAGCACAAGCAGACTATCTACGGGACAATCCGGATTCCACCATATCTTTATGTACACAATATTAATCTTTTACATTTTAATCTTTTTATTTTTAATATTTGTCAGTTTGTGTGCTGCTGCGTGATAAGTCCCTGTGTGTAATAAGCAGACTGTGTGTATGTGTGTAATCAGAGTGTGTGTGTTGTGGACTGGCCTATAAGCTCATATTACTAATGCGCCCTTTAAATAAATGAAAAACACTGCGCCATCATTGACTTTAGAGCAGGTTCAGTTGGTCAACGGCTCAGTTTATTTCAGTTCCTCAAAATAGCAACGCTCCAACACTGCGCCCGAACACACACTCCATCTCAGACCAGCAGCCCACGGGCCACAGATGAGAACGCAAATACATTTACTATTTAAACAACGAGGCGCAGGACGTGAAAATGCAAACTGCGTCGGGCTGAAACTAGCTAAACACACTTGCGTCGCGGCGGGTAGAGCCATACACTTACTCATTTCTCACTTCAGGACAGTTTCATTCAGAATCCTAGCTTTTTTGTTCGTCAGCTCCATCAATTGCCAAGTCTTATTTAAAAACATATTTATTTTCTTTAGCTAATAATTTATGCTTGTTTTGTTGTATGATTGTAATATCATCATTTTTGTAAAAGCACTTTGGGGGAACGTCTGTTGTCTGAAAATGCACTATATATACAGTATATATATATATATAAACACATAAACACATATATATATATATATATATATATATGTGTGTGTGTGAGTGTATATATATATATATATATATATATATATATGTATATATTAGGGCTGTGCAAAAGTTAATTGCGATTAATCGCATCCAAAATAAAAGTCTGTGTTTTCATAATATATTTGAGTGTGCTGTATATAATTATTTTGTATATATAAATACCTATGCATGCATGTATATATTTAAGAATTATTTGCGCTTAAATTCTGTATATATTTATAAATACATAATCTATATTATATAAATATGAATATTTTATATATTAATAACACATTTTCTTAAATATATACATGCATGTGTGTGTATTTATATATACAAAATAATTATATACAGCACACACAAATATATTATGTAAACACAGACTTTTATTTTGGATGCGATTAATCGCAATTAACTTTTGCACAGCCCTAATATATATATATAAATATATACACATAAGTTTATGCTTACTCATTTGTGATCTGTTTCCATGTCACACACACGCTTGTATCTGCTTCTCCACGCACACAGGCTGTAAGATGTACGCCTTCTGCGGAGCTCTGTTCGGGATCACATCCATGATCAACCTTTTGGCCATTTCCATCGACCGCTACGTGGTGATCACCAAACCCCTGCAGGCCATCGGCTGGACGTCCGGCCGCCGGACGCTCATCATCATCCTCCTGGTCTGGATCTACTCGCTGGCCTGGAGTCTTGCTCCTCTTTTGGGATGGAGTGAGTCTCACGTGTTTCCTCTACCTTTAAAAGAGAAGACAATATGATCAGTGTGGGAGAAAATAATCGATTCTCTGATGCATCGCGATTCACTCTTCAACGATTCTCACGATTATCGATGTTTTGATATCTCTTCAATGGGATATGTTGAACCCAGGCAGCAACATAGCATCGGCCCAGATCTGGCCCACATCTGGGCCGTGTGGAGTCCATGTGTGCAGGATGTGTGCCGGATATGTGCCGGATGTGTGCCGGATGTGTGCCTGATGTGTGCCGGATGTGTGCCGGATATGGGCCAGATGTGGGCCGGATGTGTTCCAACATTGCCCGCATTTTCAAGAGCAAAATATAGTTCTCCATTAAGGCTACATTTACACTGTCTTGATGCCCAATTCAGATTTTTTAACACTTTACAATAAGGTTAATCTATGAACTAACATCAACTAATCATGAGCAATACATTTCTTACTGTTTTTGTAAATCTTTGTTAACGCTAGTTGATAAAAAATCCAGCTGTTCATTGTTTATTCATGTTAGTTCACAGTGCATTAACTAATGTTAACAAGATTTTAATAAAGTATTAGTAAATGTTACAATTAACATTAACAAAGACCAACAAATGCTGTGTAAGTGCAGTTCATTATTAATTAATGTTAACTGTGGTAGTTAACTGATGAACCTTATTGTAAAGTGCTGACCCACTTACATCTTCTTAAGTGACCCATATCTGATATCTGCATTTACACTACACTTATAATAATAATAATAATAATAAGATGACTGCCTGTTTCTTTTGTCTCTCTACTATTTGTATTTTATTTTATTTTTTATATTTTTTGTGACGCGACCTTGGGTTCTTGAAAGGCGCTATAAAAAAAACATTATTATTATTATTACTTGGCGAAATGAACAAAAAATAACATTATGATATCAAGAAATCAATTTTAACATGAGTTTAATTTATTGACAACAATGTAATACAATAGTTCATCCTTGTATCAAAACATCATTATATAGTACAAATTCTTCAAGACAGTGATTATATGCAAGAACAAAATCAATACTCTGCTAGTCAACTAGGGATGTTTCATTTGTTATAGATATATCTGTACCACGAAATGTTCAAAAAGTCGCTTTTTCCAATGATGTACACACTGACAGAGGAATGTCCGATTACAAATGCAGGAATCCGATTAATGTCAGATTTATTTCCACGAATGTATGAGGCCTGAAATCGATCTGAGAATATCAGAATCCATGCGTTTTCATTTTTGCATCATATCCGATCTGTGTCTAATTGGAGGGAAAAATCAGACCATGGAGTGTGAAAGCGGCCATTTTGTTGCCATCTGTGAAGTTTCTCCACAATCTTTGACACTGTGTTGTAACCGTTCTTGGATAGGTTCGTATATCCCAGAAGGCCTCATGACGTCCTGCACATGGGACTACGTGACGTCCACTCCAGCAAACAAGAGCTACACGTTGATGCTCTGCTGCTTCGTGTTCTTCATCCCTCTCGGCATCATCTCTTACTGCTACTTCTTCATGTTCCTCGCCATTCGTAACGCAAGCAGGTACGGCATGCACACACTCCTGCCTATAGTGGCATGATGAAGGAAAACATGTTGTTGGTTATGGAAGTAAAATAATGACAAATGTAAACTTGAAAAAAATATGCATTGCTTTAACCCTGCTTGCATTTTAATGCATTGTGTTTTTATGGGCTTAAATTCAACATGGTTGTATATTTAAGATGTGAATATTTCAATTCAAAACATTTCACAGACGTTTTCATTATTAAAAATGCAATAATCCATATTCAGCTTTCAGATTTGACCTCCAAAATGTTCATTCTGTTTAAAAATACAACCACAATTTTCAGTCCATTTTATTTCACTTTACAAATTCGCTTCCACAAATTCGGTGGTTCAAATTCGATAGAAAATTCAACATTTGACGTCTGGGAACGGCAGGAATATCAGTTGATTGCCGATTGATAATCTCCATAGCTGTTAGTCGACCTCACCAGCAGGGAGCGCAAGTGGCTGTTAACGAAGACCAGAGCAACGGGTGAGAGAGTCATTCATTCATAAAAACGGATTTACAGAAATGGAGCAAGCGGTCAGTATTTATGATGATATTTATTATTAGGGCTGGGTATTGACACAAATTTCACAATTCGATTCTATTTCAATTCACAAGCTTGCAATTCGATTCAATTCAATATCGATTATTTTGGATATCAGTTACAATAAATGGCAAATTTTCTCAAGGAAATCAAATCTCTTAAACTATGGGAGTCTAGTTGTAGCCTATAGGCTTCATTAGCCTAATATGAAGGTAATAATGAACTTTTGTAGCTATACAAACACTTAAATTACACTTTCATTTATTTTATAATAAGACGATCATATTAAATACAAACATTTAAATGGTGACTGTCATAAAAACTTGCCAGATTTATTCAAATATGCATTAAATATTGAAGAACATTAAGATTATAATGCATATGTAATATGGTGTATATATTTAGCAAAATGCTCCTCTCTGGAGTTATTTTTTCTAGCTGACTAACAAGTTTATGTGGGTTTTCTGAGGTAAATATGACGACACATGACATTGATTACAAGCTGTTTAACTGACGTCTTTCGATGAGCGAATCAATGTGACATGATCCGGATTTCGATAAGTTGTACTCTATCTTTAACACACTTTCAGATGCTCATTCATGTTTATTTGGCGCTGTGACTGGTATTATTAAGCCGGAAGAGAGATCAGCGCTGCTGCTTCTCCAGAGGTGACAGAGGTGAAAATCACGGTGACCAAAAACAATCAGGTCAAAGTTCAGGGTTCGTACAGACTTACAGAGATTTTCAATCTCACTTATCAAACAATATCTTGATTATCTTTCAAATTCTAAAAAAAGGCAAATAGATGAACAAAAATAAACAAATAAAACAAAATGGAACAAATAAAGTGCAGCAGATGCAAGGACTGTGCAAACTTTAACCATTGAAAGGACACTATGACAAAGATATCGCTTTCCTTATTCAAACTGATTTTCCCTCCCATGAATATATGATTGACCTGAAGAAAGAAAGCTGTTTCATAAACTGTACTCGGACACAAAATGCCTCTACGGGCTTTGTGTTAAAAGATTTTCATCAATAAAACTAGTTCAATAATTCAAGCACTTTCCAAGTTTTCAAGTTTTTTTCAGGACTTATATTTCAAAACGTCAAATCAATGATGACTACAATGCCATTCTTGTGAAAACTGTGTCCAGAGATTTGGAGAAGATGGGTAGCCATGTGAGGAAGACCACCCTCATCCAACAGCAGTCCATCAAGACCGAGTGGAAGCTGGCGAAGATCGCCTTCGTGGTCATCATTGTGTTTGTGCTGTCCTGGTCTCCGTACGCCTGCGTCACGCTCATCGCCTGGGCCGGGTAACTACCAGACATTATTACAAACAATATCTGGAATTTTTTGTGTCATTAGTAAGGCTGTTTTTATTATATTTTGATGCATGGGTGTCTATATTTGTGCATCTCTTAATCTTTTTCCTATCATTATCCAACAGCAAATAAACAGTTGAACAACTGCAAATCGTGAAACTGAAAAAATCAGAATATGGTGCAAAAGTTCAACTAAAGGTGAAATTAATATATTATATAGACTCATTACACACGAGATATTTCAAGCCTTTATTTGTTTTGATGATTATGGTTCACAGATATGAAAACCTTTTCACAATATTCTAGAATTTGGGGTTTTCATAAGTTGTAAGCCATAATCATCCCAATTATAACAAATAAAGGCTTGAAATATCTCACTTTACATGTAATGAGTCTATATAATATATTAGTTTCATCTAATTAGAATTACTGAAATAAATGAACTTTTGCACCATATTCTAATTTTTCGAGTTTTACCAAACATTTGCTATTTTCATCTCCTGTTTAAGATTTTTAGAGTGCAGACCTTTTTTGCATTTTTTTAATTTAGACATGCAGACTTTTTTTTTCTTTCTCAGTTTTGCCCTAATCTGTGATGGCCAGTTTCTTGCAGAACATCTAGTCTCTCAGAGAGGTATTCTGATCCATGTGTTAGTCTATTAAAGGGAGTCAAACCATGCAGAAGATCTGAGGCTTTCTGAGAATTCCTGGGTAAAAAGACGTCCTTTTATAGAAGAAGTGTCCAGAAGTGAGGGCGTATAGTGCGAGAGCGAATGATGAAGTCTGCTGGAGGATAGACATTACGACCATGCGTGATTCCTTCCGCTCAGCCAACAATACCTCTAGGTCACTGACATGTCACGTAAACACACACTGCAGGGGTCTTCAGCTTCATTCAGGGCTTGCTTCTTCACTTGTTTTCCGGCACAAACCCTTACGGAACAAAACTTAATGGGAATATACTGCAAAATATAAAGCGATATATTACATTATACATTTTTGTACATGGGAAACTAGTGCTTATATTTACTGCAATACAGGTGAAAGTAGAATATCGTGCAAAAGTTCATTTATTTTAGTAATTTGTCTTAAAAGGTGAAACTAATATATTATATAGACTCATTACATGCAAAGTGAGATATTTCAAGCCTTTAATTGTTATAATTTTGATGATTATGGATTACAGATATGAAAACCCCCAAAGTTCAGTGTTAGCTGTCAATGGGGTATAGATGTTTCTATTAAAAAAATACACACAAAAATATAGTAAGAAAATATATTTTGCGGTGTATATAAATATTCTTAAATCAAGAGCAATCTATGCCAAAAATTATTTATTTTTTCTTTAAAAAAATATTTTTCTCAAGTCAACATCGCAAAAAGACTATAAATTCTTATTTTCTGGAATTTTGTTATCATAAATCTAGTGAGTTATGCTTAAAACAAACAAACAATGTGGGCAGAAAAATAAACTGAATTTAAAAAGAAAACGAGATTATTTTTCGGACCCCATTGACAGATATGTGCTTTGATGTAATTTAGCCTTTTGCTAAATGTCTTGATTCAAATATTTGTTTTGATATTTGTAACTGAAAACGAGGCAAAACGACGATCATCCTTTGAAGATCACAAACTCTGACATAAGTAGCATGAATTTCAATGCCATAGTAATGTGCTTTGCTTGTTTTTCATGCTCCAGCTACAGCCACGTTCTTTCTCCGTATTCAAAGGCAGTTCCTGCAGTGATTGCCAAAGCATCAGCCATTTACAATCCTTTCATCTATGCCATCATACGCTCCAAATACAGGTTCGTTCAAGTGCAAACGCCTCAGCAAACCACACAATATTGTGGCAAAACATATAACGCAGTGTGTAATTTTGACCCTGATTTACAGAGACACGCTGGCTGAGAAGGTGCCGTGTCTGCATTTTCTAGCCCAGTCGTCACGTAAAGATTGCATTTCTGTGTCGAACAGCGAATCGTCCTTCAGAGAGCCTATGCTCAGCCGACAGTCATCAGGGTCAAAGGCCAAGTTCCAGCGAATCTCCTCCATGTCCACTTCAGACACGGTTAGTGCTTTACACTGCAAAAAAAGGCTTTTATTACTTAGTATTTCTGTCTGGTTTCCAGTCCAAATATCTAAAAAAAAAAAATGTAGGGGTGGTAAAATGCCCTTTTCACAAGGTGTTAAGTAAGTCTTTCATGTGTGTCTCTGTTTTAGCTTGAAATACCCCACAGATATTTTAATATAGCACGTTAAAATTGTCACTTTTTGAGGGTGAGCAAAAACGCACAGTTTTGTGTCTGTCCCTTTAAATGCAAATGAGCTGCTGCTCCCGGCACAGGGGGCGGAGCTACAACAGCTTGCACTCACACACATGCACTGAAAAATTCAAAAGCTTTAGCCTTTTATATTAAAACTGTCAAAAAATGATGGAGAGACTCAAGAAATAGTGACAACATTTCTGAATGGTTAGTTGATGAATTTATGAAGCTGATGTGTAGTTATCTTCTATTGTTGTTGCTTTAAAAAAAACTAAATTATCTACCAATAATGTAAGAAAAATAATCTTAATTCAAACAGAAACTAGATTATTTTTCTTACCCCATTGGCACACAATTTTGCTTTTTACAACAACTCACTTGATTTTGATTTATTTTCCCATAACAGACATAATATCGTATAGCATTTTACTCATCTATAGTGAATGCATGTTGATTTAAGAATATTTAGATATTTGTACTGGAATACAAGACTAACATACTAAGTAAGAAAAGCATTTTTTGGCTGTATGAGGAGACTTATGCTTACTCTTCTAGTTCAAGATGCGTCCACATTGCCATCATACAATATTATAAATGCACACTTTGTAGTTATACCGCTAAAATCTGCTTATTTATGCATATCTAGACATTTAGGTTCTTAATTGACACCTTTTCTACAAGGTCAGAGGTTAAACGTGTCAATATATCGTATGTATGTGCTCTAGGTCTGGAGTGATGTAGAATTAGATCCTGTGGAGCAAAAGAGTCAGATCCTCAGAAACTCACAATCAGCAAATCAGCTGAGAGATGAAGGAAGGAAACCGCCAACGAAACATGGCAAGACGAAGAACAAGAGTCGAGGAGAGAAAGAGCACAGAGAGGAGAAGGTAAGGTGTGTGCTTCACAGGAGTCATTACAGTAAACTGTAGGGATCCACCGATTTGAAGGTTTTGGCTGATACCGATAACCGATAATTCTTTGTATTTGAAAGCTGATAACCGATAATTCTTTATATTTGAAAACCGATAAAGCGATAACCAATAATTCTTTATATTTGAAAACCGATAAACCGATAATTCTTTATATTTTAAAACCGATAAAGCGATAACCGATAATTCTTTATACTTGAAAACCGATAAAACGATAACCGATAATTCTTTATATTTGAAAACCGATAAAGCCGATAACGATAATTCTTTATATTTGAAAGCCGATAAAGCAGATAACCAATAATTCTTTATATTTGAAAACCGATAAAACGATAACCGATAATTCTTTATATTTGAAAACCGATAAAGCCGATAACGGTAATTCTTTATATTTGAAAACCGATATAATGATAACCACTGGATTCTTGCAAAGCGATAACCGATAATTCTTTATACTTGAAAACCGATAAAACGTTAACCGATAATTCTTTATATTTGAAAGCCAATAAAGCGATAACCGATAATTCTTTATATTTGAAAGCCAATAAAGCGATAACCGATAACTCTTTATATTTGAAAACCGATAAAGCGATAACCGATAACTCTTTATATTTGAAAACCGATAAAGCGATAACCGATAATTCTTTATATTTGAAAGCCGATAAAGCGATAACCGATAATTCTTCATATTTGAAAACCGATAAAGCAGATATCTAGTCAATTAAAGTCCCTATGAAATCAAAATTGACCATACCTACTTTGTTTGCCTAAATTGATCGTTTTGTGGTGAACAATTCATACATGCAAATCCACACAAAAACATTTTTTGGCTTCATAATCTTTAATCAAATTTTGAAAATGCCCCTCCCCTCTGCATTGGAGGACCTTGCCCTTTGACGTAGGCTTTACGGTTTGGGTGTCTCCTTAACATCCATAACCACGCCCCTCCAACTGACAGCTGCTGTGTGTTTGCAAGCGCTGAGCGAGCATTGATTGACAGCGTGTGTAAACTTGCGTCATCCTCCATTTCAGAATGAAACACCCATTTTTCTTGATCCAATCAGGTGCTAGTTGGAAAAAAAGCCACGCCCACTATTTTGCCTCATTTAGTATTCCGTTTCTCTCGGAAATACGTCACAACACTGGAGAAAAGTCGTTTGCAACTTCCGGTTCATGGGGACTTTAAAGGTAAATAAAATTAAAAAAATAACAAAAAAATCTCCCCCCCAAAAATCATTAAAAAATAGACAAAAAAATTGCCAAATCTAGTCAGGTTGAAATATATTACATCTAATAATTTAAAGCTAAATACATTTTAAAATAACAAAAAATCTCCCCCAAAATAATTGCATTAAAAATAGAAAAAAATATTGCCAAAATGAAAAAAGAAATAAAAAAAGCTTTCTGGACAAAATAAATAAAGTATAATTTTAGGGCTTCCGGTTATTTTGACCCGTGAGGGAAAGATTGAGGGTCAAACGTTCAACGATGACAGCATCAAACGCATAAATGTACATGTTTTGTGGATCTCAGCCTGCAGTCGCAGAGAGCGGCTCTGTGATGGATTACAGCCTTGACCTGGCGTCCGAATCCATCAACATGGCCACCGTCCCGCTTCTCATGGCCAAACACACTCCAGGAGGGGAACCAGAGAAAGAAGAGGAGAGCAACACTGTGAGCCCCCAGACAAACGGTCTGGCTTTTTACGAAGACACCGAGGAGCCACAAATCATCATGGGCCCCGAATCAGAGGAGCAAACGTCGCCGAGCAGAGAAGACAAATTAATACTGGACCTCAAAAGCCTGAACTGCTCCAGCGAGCTCCTGGAGTCTGTGGAGAAGTTCCTCTCCTGAGGCCTGACGTGACGTCTGTGTTTCGCCGAAGACGGGGCAGGACACTGGAGAACCACAGTCTTCCGCTGGACGTTTTGTTGGGCCCAGTTAGTTTGCGTGCAGATCAGCAGCTGCTTCAACTTCACACACTTCAGCCACGGCACAGACTGTAGAAAACATGAGAGTGACACTGTGTGTTTGCAATTTTCATTACCAAACCTATTTGCACTTTAACAAGAGCGGTATCACAATAAGACCGGGATTCATTTCAGGTTCAATACAAGTTCTGTCGATCAATGCAAGTAAACCTGCCTGTGCACGAGAAATATGAAAACACTGAATCATTCGGTACAAACCCTATTTATTATCTAAGCTGCGCTCGTCATGCTTCACCAAAGTATTTCCTGTAAAGTCTCTTTCTGATATCTTTGCAAATGTTCCCACGTTTTTGACATTTTGTGGTCATGACACTGAACTTGGATAATTAATTTACACCGACAATGTTCATAATGTAAGTGATTCCGTCATGCAAATGTGTAAAATGTCAAGTCGAGACATTTATTAATATGGCGTTTTATGCAACTGTTTTTTCAAAGCAGCTTCACAGAAATAGGCAGGAAAATAATGATGTTTCAAAATTAAATGATGTGAAATGACTTATCGGTTGTAAAGCAACTGCAGAAGACAACAATAGCGTCATTATTCAGTTCAATGCAGATTCAATAATGGTGTCATCAGTTTCGAAACAAATTCTCAAAGTTAATTCAGTTTTCTTGTGGATATGCTTTTGAAATAGTCCGTATTTTAATGTTCAATGTCTGGCCCCGTGTATTGCTCTTGTAAGTGCTTTACTGTAACCACAAATTTAATCTTTAAATCAAGATTATTTTCATTGTTTAAAGGAGTAGTTCACTTTTAAAAAAACGTTTGCTGATAATTTACTCGCCCCCATGTCATCCAAGATGTCCATGTCTTTCTTTCTTCAGTCGAAAAGAAATGAAGGTTTTTGATGAAAACATTCCAGGATTTTCTCCATATAATGGACTTCAATGGGGACCAAACGGTTCAAAGTCCAAAAGACAGTTTCAGTGCAAACTGTTCAAAGGGCTTTAAACGACACCAGACGATGATTAAGGGTCTTATCAAGCGAAACGATCGCTCATTAAATAAGTAAATAACAAAGTTTAAGTTTTATAAGCACAAATGGTCGCCTTGCTCTGTTCTGTGATGTGCGTTCGTGACTCTCCTGTTCGAACTCGTTCATCAAAATGAACGAATCTTTTTCCGAGTCATTTGGTTCATTTCGTTCGTTGAATTAACCAAATGATTCGAAAAAAGATTCGTTCATTTTGATAAAACTTTGTTATTTATTTATTAAATGACAATTGTTTCACTTGATAAGACCCTTAATCATCGTCTGGAATCGTTTAAAGCCCTTTGAACAGTTTGCACTGAAACTGTCTTTTGGACCTTGAACCGTTTGGTCCCCATTGAAGTCCATTATATGGAGAAAATCCTGGAATGTTTTCATCAAAAACCTTCATTTCTTTTCGACTGAAGAAAGAAAGACATGGACATCTTGGATGACATGGGGGCGAGTAAATTATCAGCAAACATTTTTTTAAAAGTGAACTACTCCTTTAATGGATGCACCGATATGAACATTTCAGTGCATTCTTTATACTTGCAAGCCGATAACCGATATATCGGCCGATAAATCCAAATTTTTATAGATTTTTTTTGGGAGCCTGATCACAAAACAAAAGTCTCATCATTATAAGCCATGTCCCAAACACCCAATTATGTTCTCATTATAATTGTACGTAGCCGATATGACAGACTTGCACTGCACTTTACTGTATTTTCCCTTTTCCCAATCATATATCAAACAATTAAAAACCAACATGGTGAACAGTTACACATCTGAAGCAATCTTTTATTATTTATTGGCTTTAAAACGTCAGCCAAATTTTCTTATCAGACCGATAACTTCAAGTTCCTCCCAGTCCTGTAAACACAGTCCGATATGAGCAACCGGGGGAAGCATCTCTCCATCTCTTTTTATTGTTTTCTATCTTTATTCTTTACATTGTACACTTCTGGCTGTGTGTTCTCCCAGTCGTCACATAATGAAAACATTCCTGTACTCGCACCTAAACCATGTGGCACCTGTAGTTGTGTGTCCTTGAAATCCTATTTTTGTAATAAGGTATACTAGATCATGTGAGTGTCTGTGAGAAAAGATACATGTACTTGTAAGATATGTGAATATAACAAGAAAGCGTGGCCTAAATCTTCATCACCATCCAAATTCATGTTTACATTTATGCAATATGATCCTCATTTTATTACGTTTTGTTGAACTCTTGATTTGTGCCAATCAAATGTTATCCAATGAAAGTCCACGGGGAACAGGCCAAGTGTTGTGTATATTCCCTAATGTTCTATGTTATCATTATTATCGATATTAATTGTGAGGTTGAAATGCAGCAGAGCTTTATTGATCCCTGTACAGTGTAATATTACTTGGATTGACTGAGATTAAATGAATAGTGAACAAAACCCCCCATGATTGTTTTACGGCTGCTAAACCAGCTTAATTTCCAGGATTACTCCTCATTCTTCGGGATCTTGGAGGATTTGTTTCCTCAAGCTTGTAAGGGGCTCAGGTATGTAGAAGTCAAACATTTATGTTAGGAAAAACACTCGTATGATGTGGTTTGAAGGCTGGTTTAGTCTCCTGATTTGGGGTCAGGTGTTCACTCTTATAATTATGTCTAAAAAGTAAAGATACAGTGCTTAGCAAGTGAACACACCCAAGGCAAGGCAAGGCAAGTTTATTTATATAGCACTTTTTAAACACAGTAGCAATTCAAAGTGCTTTACATGGAGGGAATTAAAATAATCAAAAGAAATCAGAATAATTAAAACAGTTTACAATAAAAAAAAAAATTCAGTTCGCTTTGATTTGCATTGAAAGAGGATCTTATGGAAAGTTCCCCATGTCGATGCAAATTCAACCATTCTTTACGTTTTATCATCCGAGACGTCAAATCAACCTGTCAGTTTCATCAATAAATCTCGATCAACGAACCACATCATTGATTAAACGTCAGCCTTAATTTACCTGTCTTTGTGCGAGCATTTAGGCAATTCACATTTGATCAGAGTTGCACAGAGTTCTAAACAACACAATAATCGCGAATGGATCTAAGGCGAATGATCTCATGAATATTAATTAAGCAACAGACAATCGGCCAGTAGACCTCCCTGATTGGCTGAAACTAAAACGCTAGTCTTGTTGATTCATGAATATTAATTAGTAACCCACAATCGGCCAGTAGCCCTCCCTGATTGGCTGAAACTAAAACGCTAGTCTTGTTGACTCATGAATATTAATTAATAATCGACAATCGGCCAGTAGCCCTCCCTGATTGGCTGAAACTAAAACGCTGGTGTTGTTGACTCATGAATATTAATTAGTAATCGACAATCGGCCATTAGAACTCTCTGATTGGCTGAAACTAAAACGCTGATGTTGTTGACTCATGAATATTAATTAGTAATCGACAATCGGCCAGTAGAACTCCCTGATTGGCTGAAACTAAAACGCTGGTGTTGTTGACTCATGAATATTAATAAGTAATCGACAATCGGCCAGTAGATCTCCCTGATTGGCTGAAACTAAAACGCTAGTCTTGTTGACTCAGGAATATTGATTAGTAACCCACAATCGGCCTATGAATAATGATCTATGAATAATCTTTTTCTGAATATGAACAAAAAATTAATAATTTTTTTGGCGCTTTTGCAAATCTGGAGGAAACATTGACACGTTTTTGTAAGAGCAGTGTTCTTTGTAGGAATGTTTTAAGCCAGTAGATGGCAGTATTTGACCACAGTAGTACTCTGAGTGAAGTCAAGTCAGTCTAAAACATGGCAAACATATCTCATCTGATCACTGTAAGACAGTTTTATAACACACAAAAGTGACTAATGGCTAATGCTTTTATTTATGAAACTAATAACACTTGTTGGCACCAACTAGGAGGGATTTACCGTTATTCCTGGCATGTACATTAACTCTCTGTTCTCAGAAAAAATCACATCAGACAGTATTACTAAATTATAGTTTTCCTCTCACATTTCTCTCATTGTGGCATTTCACCATTCTTTTATATTACTTTGCATTTCTATGTTTTCAGTCTCAAGTGAATGAAGAGCTGTAAGATGAATCACGCGTGCATATAAAAGGAGAGAAGAAAGAGGCAGAATATTGGCTACATATAATTGGGTATAATTGACTAATTAGGTAAGATGCATTATTAGGATAAAGTTAAACAAAGAAAAAGAAAATGGAGATACTAATAATAACAAAATAATAATAACTCGCCTTAGGATATTAGGACATTGAGTAAACAAACAATCACAAACAAAAAAGAAAAATATATAAAGATACAGTGACAAACTTAAAAGTAAAAAAAAATGTATTAGGTATATTTAGGTATCGTAGAATTTCTGATCTTAAAATGAAAAACAAAGGCTTGTTTCCTCCATATTTACATTCATGAATACTAAATTTAGCTGAAATAAGAAGGAGATTAATGAAGTAATATTACTAGATTTGTCATAAGAGGGAAAAAACTACACATTTTAAAGCACAGTTGAAAGCTGATGTGAGCCTTAAGAAAAGAACAGAGATCTGACCAAACACAAACTGAATGAGGAAAACTCCAAAATAAATGATAAACTGTTACAATTGTTACTGTGTCAATAATGTGCTGTCAGTCTCCCGGCCTGTCAATCATCGCGCCGGTGACGTCAGAGCGCCCGAGCGTCATTATTTCCTCTAGTCTAGTGTGTGTTAAAGGGGCGGAAGTTCGTGAGGCAGTTTCTGGAGTTTCGAGACTCGTTTTCTTTCTCTTCCTCACACACAGTTTGACTCCACATCGGCTTCACAGCACACCACAGGTGAGTGACATGAACACGAGTGTCATTGCGCGTTTAACACGCGTTCTCGGGACTTTACGTCAACGCGGCGCGAGATGAGACGCGAATGAAGTTTACAGTTACGATTCGCGTGGGAAAAAAACTCCCTAATCCGATCCTTTTTAAAGTTCTTATTAATTTCAGATATTATATAGAGGATTTATGTTGTGAGTATATTAGTAAGCCAAAAACAATGTGTATGTGTTCAGGTAAATGTTTAACGTTACCCGTGGTTGACCGTTAACTTTGAATGAATTTTGTCGGTTATTTATTTATTTTTTTGGCGCCGTGTCAGTTTTGAAAAGTAAAGCGGTTTGTGATTGACTCAACGAGGAAGTGGTTTTGTTCCCAAAAGGGGTGTCAATATAGCTCTAAATACGTATATTTACCGTTATATCAGCACTGGATGTATAGGCTACTTTATAAGTTAACGATTATGCTGTGACTGTGTGTGGAGAGATTTGATTAAGTTACAATAGCTGTCACTGTATGGGGCGTCATGTTGTCCTTTAAATCAAAAACAAAACGGGGAAAAGTTCATACGTAACCTGAAAAGAGTGTAAAATGTGTGTGAACTTATTTATTTGTGCTTCACTTTAGCGGTTAAAGTCCTCATGATGGCAATTTGAGGTCATTTTGATGTAATTACAGCGGTTACATGCGGAATAACAGACATTTAAGGCATGCGAATGACATTAAGTGGATAATAATAATGTTAGGTATAGTTTAAATGCACTCATTAACAGTAATGTTATGTATTTTTGGTGCTTCCAGGTGACTAACTTAACCGTTCAGCAGTGTTGGGTGTAAATAATTACTAAGTAATTAGTTACTGTAATTTAATTACTTTTCCCTTGAAAATGTAAAGTAAGAGATTACTCTTCATTTATCTGTAATTTAATTACAGTTACTTCTGATGTAATTGAGGTA